GGAGCCGGGCCACGGGGGCCGTGCTGGGGCCTGCGGGAACGGGCCGCGCCTCCCCGGAGCCCTTCTCCCGCCCCCACCCCAGCTTACCTCGTGCTGCCGGCCAGCCCGCCCCTGCTGCTTAGTCTCAGACGGGGAGGAGGGGGAAGTGGGTGGGGTGAACAGCTGCAGCGCGGGGCCCTCTTGGCGCGGGGCCCAATTCAGCCGAATCGGCTGAATCGGCCTAAAGCCGGCCCTGCACGCAGCCAATGCCCAGTGCAGTCGCACCCTTCGTCAGCCAGCTTCTCGCTGCTGCTTAACGCCCTGGGGGTGCAGAACTTGCCGCGAAGCGGACCTGAGGGAACCGCAGCAGGCTGGCCGTTTCCCCCAGGTGCGTTTCTTGTGTCGCTCTGCACGTCACGTAGGACGCGGCTGGTGCAGTCTGGTTTTACGGATTGATTCCCGTTGATGTGCTGGGGGCGGGGAAGTGTTGGCTCTTCAGCTAACTCCATCAGCAATGGATTGTGTGTTCTCTGGGATCCAAGACTTTCAGTATCCTTGGTTAACAGGTGATTTCCCCTGGTGTCCTTCTACACGGCAGCTCGAAGGACAACACCAAGGGCTTCTTACCCCAGATTTGACCTCCTTTCAGACTTATAAACTGAATGGGAAATGTTTCCACTTTCTAAACATCAGCAGCCTCTTTATTTATTTGTTTTGCCTTTTGATAATCCAGCTGCCCTGTCTTGCCCTACAAAAACTGTGATTGATCGCCCCCTGCTGGACAAAGTAAAAATTGCATCCGAAGAAGTGGGCTGTAGTCCACGAAAGCTTATGCTCTAATAAATTTGTTAGTCTCTAAGGTGCCAGAAGTACTCCTGTTCTTTTTGCGGATACAGACTAACACGGCTGGTACTCTGAAAAGTAAAAATTGCCTCCAATCGCTGCTGCTCTGTGGAAACAAAGCCGTGTTTCTGAGGTGGGAAAATGTGTTCATTTCCATCATGCCTCTGAGTATCTGGCTACTGACCGGGATGGGGAGCTTGGAAGTCCTGCCAGGGTGCTGGCTCTGGGGATCCAAACACAGTGACTTGGTTTGCTCAGCTACGCATGATAACCACCCATCATTCTCCCACTCCTGCCCCCAACGAAAGGAGAAGCGTCCCCAGGCTCTGCCGATGCCATGGGGGAGGGGAACGCAGGTTAAAGTGATGCGTTCCAGCTACCGAGAGAGTGGATTATATCCAAGATCCCCCCCCCCCCCCATGGAACAGGATTA